TATTTTCTCCCTTCCTTCTCCTCATCCTCTTAAGATATTGGAATGTTGTATCCTCAGCCTCAGAGCCCTAAGTCTCTGAATTTTCAATAGAAAAATTTCTTTTTGTTACAAAAAAATGGCATTATCTCCCTTACTCTTGGAAGAATATCAAGTTAATCAGTGATCATAGGCTGGTTTGGTATCAGCTATACATCAGACATAATTCAGATAACAATCAATATACGGAACTAGAAATAAACTCCTAAAAATTAAGAACCAATAAAATGGGCAACTGAACTTAAATAAAAACTGTCTCAAAAGAAAATCAAAATGGCCAAAAAATGCTTATCTCTAGCCATAAGAAATGCAAAGTCAAACCACACTAAGATCCACCTAACCTCTGTTAGAACACGCCCATCATCAAAACACCACCAAAACATGTTAGCAAGATGCGAGAAATGAACCCTGTTACAATTGCTGGTGAATGCAACTGGTGCAACCACTCGGAAACAAAAATTTGGAGCTTCGTTAAATCAAACATAATCTCCATTATTGATCCCAGCAAGCCACTCCTGGGATTTACTCAAGAATTACACAGTACTCAAAGAGACCTGCACACCCATTTTATTGCACACTATTCACAAAGCTAAGTTATTAAAACAGCCAAGATGCTCCACTACTGACAAAATGGATTAGAAAATTGTATTTATACCACAATGAATTTATTTTTTTTATTATTCATATGTGCATACAAGGCTTGGGTATTTCTCCCTTGCCCCCCCCCTCCCTTACATCCACTCCGCCCCCTCCCTCCCCGCCCCCCACCCCTCAATACCCAGCAAAACTATTTTGCTTTTATTTCTAATTTTGTTGTAGAGAGAGCATAAGCATAATAGGAAGGAACAAGGTTTTTCGGTTGAGATAAGGATAGCTATACAGGGCATTGACTCACATTGATTTCCTGTCGTGTGGTTTACCTTCTAGGTTAATTCTTTTTTATCTCACCTTTTCTCTAGTTCCTGGTCCCCTTTTCCTATTGGCCTCAGTTGCTTTTAAGTATCTGCTTTAGTTTCTCTGCATAAGGGCAACAAATGCTAGCTAGTTTTAGATGTCTTAACCTATCCTCACCCTCCCTTGTGCTCTTGCTTTTATCATGTGCTCAAGTCCAATCCCCTTGTTTGTTTGCCCTTGATCTAATGTCCACATATGAGGAGAACATACGATTTTTGGTCTTTTGGGCCAGGCACCTCACTCAGAATATGTTCTCCAATTCATCATTTACCAGCGAATGATTAACATTCGTTCTTCTTCATGCTGCATAAAATTCATTGTGTATAGATACCACATTTCTTATCCATTTCGGTAATGGGCATCTTGGCTGTTTCCATATGGCTATTTAATAGTGCAGCAATAAACATGGTACAGTGCCTCAGAATAACCTGTGTCATAGTCTTTTGGTATATCCCCAAGAGTGGGTGCTGGATCAAATGGTAGATCAATGTCTAGTTTTTAAGTAGCCTCCAAATTTTTTTCCAGAGTGGTTGTACTAGTTTACATTCCCACCAACAGTACACAATGGAATTTTATTCAGTCATAAAGAAGAATGATATGATTCACAAGTAAATGGATGGAACTGGAGAACATCATCTTAAGCAAAGTTAGCTGGGCTCAGAAGGCCAAAAATCATATGTTGTAATACACTTGTGCATGGAAGCAATGCTAGGAATCTCTCTGTATAGCTATCCTTATCTGAACTAACAAAAACGCTTTGTCTTTCTTATTATGCTTATGTCTTGTCTTCAACAAAATTAGAGATAAGGGCAGAACAGGTGCTGCCTGGAAGTGAGGGGAGCAGGGAGGAGAAATGACCCAAACAATGTAAGCACATGTGAATAAATGTATAATAATAAAAAAATCTGCATATCTAGCATCATTGTATTATTTAGTACTTGACACATTACTAATATCTTTCTTAGAGTTTGTTTTTTATGCTCTTAAACATAATGACCAATGGTAACCAACTAATTGTGAAATTGAAGCTGCTGTAGTTTTGCTATAGTTTCTTGTAGCCATCCCTCTCACACACATTTGGAGTCTAACTCGTTCATTCTAAAATCATGTGGTTGGGTTCTAGAAGAGACAAATACTATATGCTACTGATCATTATAAATCTTTCCTGAATTATAGCTTTCAATATTTCTTTTAGATACATGACAAGCTGAAATGACTTCCAAGTAGTTGGTGTAATTTCCATTTCTGGTCAATATACGTGACATTATGGTAATAAGCAATCAATAGATAATGCTATAATTTTTATAGATGTTAACTTGATATGATGATGAAACATTTAATTTTACTCAGTCATCTTAGTTAACCTGAGCTTACATTATCTAAATTGCAAAGCAATGTCTTTTTGGAGAGTGAAAGAAATATATAATTTGAGACTTATTTTTTCAAATTAGCATATGAAAGTAATCAAAAGAAATGCTTCTCAGCTCAGAAAGCCATTTTCAAAAACATTTGCCATTAAAACATACTATTTGTTAGATGGATTCATAAATATTGTAGTAATCATTAAGTCATTATCTTCATGTTCAAGGATGTAATTGACAAGACAGTAAGAAGACATACATGTGAGATACAAATTGCATGCTTATATTTATTTATATCATTAATTATAGATAACTGTTTGCAATTTTTTAGGCACATGGATAGGACAATATGAAGAATCATTATGACAGATAACATCTGGAAATCTTTTCCTTTAATATTTCACCCAATGTGCTCTTTTTTATTCTAAGCAATTGGCCTGAAGAGTTATTAGCTCTGGAGTACGGGCATGCATATCGCTTTGCCTGCAGTCATGACATCAGATCTAATACTTTCATTAAACACCCAAGTTATTCTAGCTTAAGTCCTTTTAGCTTTTTCTACTTTCCTATCATCTTTCATACCACAACTGCATTGTAATAGGAAAATTTTACTAATATATATATATGCATATATATATATAATATGCAATATGTGATATTTATAACAAGACCACACAATATAGTTAATTTTAAAAGTAAAAATTTGATCTCAGAATGGAAATTTGGTTATTTTATAAAAAATATTGTAGAGAGAGAGCAGGGCAATGCCCCATTGGAAAATTATGACTCAAATCTAACTTTCATCTCAATTGTACGGCAGTACATTTGACAACACTGAAGGAAAGTGAATATTTTGGGATGGAAAGTGTTCACATTCGTTCTCAATGGTCTTACCTTCCCGTCGGCATCTTGTGTAGGAAAGAAGGGAGGGGGTATTCTATGCTCTGGGCTTGGGAGTGTTTCACATTTAATTGTTGCTTTGTCCTCCCGACCATCTTCTTCCACCACTGCAATCTAGAAGCAAAAACAGTACATTCAAATCAACTATTACTAAGTTTCAACTGAATTTGACATAAATAAAGAATCATTAAGACAAGGATATTTAAGTAATTTTAGTACAAAGACTTACATATAAGTCTCACTTACATAAATTAATTTTACTAAACAGAATGATTTTATAGCTATGTAAAACTGACCATACCACAATAAAAAAAACTCATGGACCCACTACACAAAAATATTGTATAAGAGTAATAAACACCACAAATCAATACACGGCAAATAAGAAAAAGTTATTCTGTAATCCATTTTATCATATCAGAACATATGCTCTTTACAAAAAGGTATTAAACACATATTTGAGCAAATTTACTAAAGAAAAAGAGTATTATGCAAAGTCAGGTTGTCATAACAAAGATCTTTTAAGTGGAAATTTTGAAATTAGAAGACAAGTTGGCAAAATATAATTTTATCTGATAAAGCATTTTAAATTAGTCAGTCTAATAAATACATTACAAGAGTTTAAAATGGGTAGCAGTTTATAAGAAAAAAATTTCTTTTCACTTGAAACATACAAGGTAAGAACAATCTTACAAATTGTTTCATTTACTACGAGAGTGACAGGACAATTGAAAAAAATGTAAAAAAAACACAACAGAAGGAGGATTCTTTAAAGAGGAATCACATTAAAAATTCACATCAATTCGGCATACCATCATTTTGGTAGGAGAGAGAACAAACTTAATGAAAGGATGAACTTTCCAATAATCGAGTAATTGTAGAGAAAGTTTTATGTGTTTGCATCTTAATGCATCACTGAATGTTACAATACACAAAAGAGATAAAATTATGAAAAAACAGAGTTTAAAATGTTGATGAAGTTCTGATAAAAAAAGTTAAAGTGTCTGATAATGTCTTATTCTAAAAAAGCTATTAATGAAAAGTTATATATATAAAAACATACAGGAATAATAATGAAATTTGTTTTGGTCTTCTTCATAAGATTCCTTTTCAACTAGCATAGGCCCACTAGGAGATCCTTTTTCAAGTCTACTTTAGCGTGTGCCAACTGCTGACAGAATTCCTTTCTAAACCTCAGTCCCATTACAACATGTTAGCGTGTTATCAGAACCTGTCTCAGTATGTAAGATACTTTACAGCTTCCATAACCTAACTGGGACTCTTTTCATGATCCTCTGTGCTATGCATAATGATTCTGCTTCTGATTTTCTCCTATAACACATTCTATAATAATACCCTTCTTTAACACTGCTGAAGCAAACTATAGCCTATACAATAACAGTTCTTAAAAACTTCGACATGACCTCTTCTCAGAATAATCACTGATAGCCACAGTATGTAGCAAAGTGGAGAAAGAAAGGCAGCAGAATCACCAATAAAATGAAAGCTGGATTACCTGTGCATCTTTCAAAATGTTAATGAAAACAAGAGTAACTCTTTCAAGATTACATACTTGTAATCTTCACCTTGTGCTCCTTCCTCCCACGAACTTTCTTGCCAGTCACCACTTTCCTCCTTGATTTCTATTAGGCTGTAATTCTGTACAAGACCCTCCATCCTGTACTTTCATTTCTTATACTCACTTAACGTATTTTACACCATCTATTCTGTTTTCTTCCTAGATTCATAGATTTTTTTTCTAGTCTTCTAAGGTGGTAGAAGTTACAGACTAGTAAGGACAGTTTGCAAGGTAAACTTAAAAATTGACAACCAGTTGGTTGTGTCAAGAAGACAGGAGGATAGAAAGTAACTTAGGAAAAGAAAATTCCATCAATCTAAGCCATGTAAGCATAATACAAATTATCTTAATTAAACAATAACAATAATTTTTAAAGTTCTCTGATTTCAGAAATGCTTTATCATAGACTTATTACCACATCTTGAAGATGCTGAAGAGTGGATTTAAACACTGGAGAGTAGGTTGTAACTTTGAATCATTCCCATCTGATATCCAGTGTCCACTACAAGCTCTCTGTTCTCAAGGATCTAATAAAATATCGTTTTGTGAATGAGAATTAGAGTCTATTTTATTTCCATATGCCATAATTTTTCTCTTTATTTTATTCTAAATAAGAAAACACTGTTTTTACTCTATTTCCTTGTTTTCTGCAATCTGGATACTCTGGCATCTGGAAAGATTGCTCCTCCCCAGTCTAATTAATTCCTAAAAGAAGCCAAGCCATTATACTTGTTAAAGGAATTTTTCAAACAAAATCCACCATTTCCCAGAGCCCATTCTCTCTAACTGGCTCCTTAATGCAGGGAGACAAATTCCATTGCCCTTATTGACCCAAGGCCAGAGAGAGACAACGCGAGAGTCCCAAATACCAGAGCAGATGAAATTATCCTAATCAATTCTTGAACCTGCCTACTCTACCTTCTTTCTCTTTCTTAAGAGAACCTCAAAAAGCTCGCTGCTCTTTCCCCTCACATTGCCTAGTGACCAACCTGGTGCTTTTACAGGGCATGGCAATACCCCTTCTCTTGGGAACTACAAACAAACTAGTACTCTTGGGAGTTTTTGCCTGATCAATTGGCCTCAGAGTATTTGAATAGTAATGAAACCAACATTTTTCATATAACCAGCATTGCTCTATAATTGATATTAAAACATCTCACTCTATCACCATGGTTTAATTATTCAGTGGAAAATCAGGATACTTAGTTCTCATAATCCAGCCATTGCCCTTGAATGCATGAACGATTTTATTTTTATTTGTTCTTATCATACTCAAACAATTCAATAACACTTAAAATATTAAATATGATATCAAAATATGATTTATTATTTCTTTTTATGCAAATAAAATACTATAGGGGGAATATCATGTTAAAGTTTTCACAGGAATAAAGCAATATTCAATAAAGAATCATGTCAAAGTTGTTTACAGTACCTTTCTCCGATGTTTCCTCAGATCACTTGGCTGTGATTGGCAGTAATAAAAGCAAGAGAGAATAGAACCGATTAATGATTCCCATTTGACCATACTGCAAGTTTTAATAGTATCTATAATTAGGGTATCTTCATTGCATTTTTTTCCGCAATAAATTCTTTTAGTCACTTGTCCCAGGAGTTACTTTAGAGAAAGAGCCTCTCAGAAGGCATGAATGGGAGATATAGTCACATGATGGAGCCTTGTCTACATGCATTGAATATGAGATGTGGACCCTGGGGAATATAAAGCACAGGGTGAATCTAGCAGAAGAGTGAGACACCAGAAGTAAATGAGACTGCATCCTCCCAAGAAAATATAGACAGGAATGAAAATACAAGGCACAGATACAGCGTTTATAAACTCACTTTTGCCCCATTCTTGAGAACTTTGGCTTTCCTTTGAGTAAGTATGGATTTCAGAGATCTCAAATTTCCTGGCATCCTAGCGAAGTTCCCCACCCCCACACAGGCCAAGAGAGGGGGTGTCAGCATAAAGTGTTTCTGGTGAGGCTGCTTTCTTGTAAATGCTCTTTTACAGAAATTTTAAAAAGCCATTCTTTTATGATTTCAGATGAACTTCATATACTTGTAAAAAGCGCTCAAGTTGCTTTTGCTGAAAATCACTGACTCCTTGAGCCCACAAGTTAACTAAAATCAGGAGAAGCTTGGCATCCTTGCTTCCATTTTGTTTTTGTCTTTGCTCTAAACCATTCTCTTTACAGTCACTTTACAATCACCTTGGATTCCAGAAAGGACAGGACTGATAACATCGTTAAGATAAGGGACTGAAACTTCCCACAAGGAACAGTGGAGACTTAAAGGACAGATCAGTCCTCCAAATGAGGATAATTACTTAAAATGATGAGGCTGCACCCTGGAGCAGGAGTAATCATCTCATGGGAAGCAGACTGCACCCCTCAAGGGATGAGGGCAACAACATTTTCTCTGGATCCGCTCTGGGAACTCTTGAACTGAGATAATGGTCAACCAGAACACACCTGTGACTGGGACTATTTAACTATGCATACCTTTGTTTCTTGCCCCCAGTTCTTTTGTCTACTTAAGCCTATATATAGCTCATGTCTGAACTGTAGAGATGCCTAAAGATGAGCTATTTTACCCTGCCTCTTTCCGTGGCATGTCCCAAGCCATGTAATAAACCTTTCTCTGCCTTCACCATGCTTCTTTATTTGGCATTCAGGAGCAGTTGGCCAGACCTGGCATATGGAATCTCAGAAGTTTGGACTTTGGGTCCAAAATTCCAGTTTCACATTTAATGTTTGATTAACTTTTCATTGCAGATATGTTATATTTAATTATTCAATTATACTTTATATTTTTGTTGTTAGTGGAAAATGTGTGGATTTTGCCCCAGTTATTACTCTAACTACATATAGTTAGCATGTTATTTATACTAAGGGTCTGTTCTTCTGTAAAAAGAAATATAAGTATGATTTATTATCAGGACTAAAAAACAAAGTGTCCAAGGCATTATTACAGAATGCAGTAACACACACAAAGTCTTTTCAATCTCTGGTTTTCTTTCCCTAAATTTTCTAATCTTTCTCTAAATGCTCAAATATGAATTATATCCACAAAATTAATTTTTTATAGATAAGAGAAAAATTTACCTATATATCACACTGAAAATAATGAATTTGGTGACACATTTTATTAGGTAGTAAGGATTTCCTGGATTTCATTTCCATGGTTTTATTCAACCTAGATATTGAAATTTTAAAACATTTCTTTATCCATCAGGAAATATCCTAAGTATTTTTTTTAGAACTCTAATTATAGTGTAATAATCTTCACTTACCACTGATTTATTTATCACTACTTCCTCAAGACAATGTGTGAAAGCACTGAAATCTCTTTCTATGCACAAAAAAAATCACATCTAAAGATTATAAATACATTATTTTATTAGGAAATAATAATGTTATCATGGACTGTGATGTCTATATTTATGAAAATACTTGAGTAAGATACTACACCATAAAAATATAAGCAAATAATAACAGTTCAGAAATCACCAAAGTATACCTGCCTTAAATGGTGATTAAATTGTGCTCTGTGACCCAAGATTCTTACTGTAGTTTTGGTAATAAATTGGTCATTAACATTATGTAGTACATATTACATTTTCAGAAACTAAGTCATAGATAATGGATACTTCCTGGACTTGCAAACTAAGCAGGCCACATTGTGACTCAGTATATCTGGTTAGTGTAACTTAGTATTTTGACTAAAAGTTTCTGAGGCCTGTTCTGATCAGGTAATCATTATTCTGATTGACCATCATCAATGTCTATTTAAAAGTTATTTTAAATACCAAGTCTGGTAATAAACACAGAAGACTCAATAGCTTACAAAAGAGGTGAGTTATTTGTTTTTGTGTTTTTCACCATTTTTCTTTCATGCAGGCCTTATAAATTGGAAATTCCAAACTGTAGAGAGCTTGTAATTGAACCCACAAATTAATTAAAACCAGGAGAAGCTTGGCATCCCTGCCTCCTTCTTGTTTCCCCACCATATAAACAGTTTGTTATAAATAGTATCGTTTCAATTCTCATTTGCAAAATTAAAGAAAAAGATGCCAAACCTATATATATATATGCAAAATAAATTTTGTGAACATTAATCAAAAATTTTGAATGCAAAAAAATATAATTGCTATAAGAATTTGTCTCTAAGATCAGAAGTATGTATGTACATGAGTATATATATATATATATAATGTAATATACATGCACCCACAAACACACAACATAAATATATGTAGATTTAATAAATTAATTCTAATAAAAATAATTGTTGCAATTTATCAACCAGATTACATATTATTTCAAACTATTTAATGATGGCATTTGGACAATGATCTTCATTCATCTATGGGCATTGTATACTTTTATAGGAGCTTCACAGCCCTCTGACAAACACTGTTACTTGATTTTTGTAGTATTATTATAATTATGATTATAGTTATAATTGTGCTAGATTTTAGCATATATGAACTATTATCAACTCTTTGTATATTAATTAATCCCTACTGCCAATCTCTTTTATTTGAAATAGGAATTTTATTGTTTAACCAATAGTTTTAATACTCATTATGAAAACCGGGAATTTTACCTACACAAACATTTCACAATATTTTTATCTTCGTCATTACTGTCATATAAGTACACTTCCAAGTAGTAATAGGAAAAAAACCCAAAAAACAGAATAGAGCACGCTTTTTCATTGGACCATTATGTGGAAACGTCAGCTCCACTTATTATTCATGTTGAACATGGATGATTTACTCCTGTTCTCAAAGCCTCGGTGACCTCTGCTCCCCACGGGAACAATGACCTCTGACCTCAGTGTTGCCATGAGAATTAGATGACTGAACATCACAGCATATAGCAGCCATTCCGACCATATTTTCCAATCTTTCTTATGTTTCTTTTAGAATGTGCTACTTTGATTTTCTCTCTTTTTTCAGGTTACTAATGTGGGCTTCCAAATTCTAATCCCAAATGTAAAGATTGATGAAAAAAATAATTAAAGAATAAGTATGGAAATATTGACATGGTATCTAAAGAAGAAAAATTTGAAAATTGAGGCTTTTTTTGTGGCAACATAAATACATAATTTTATGAAAATTATATATATTGCAATATTATAAATTCCTCTGTTGTATTGAAGAAATGATAACTCTGAATTTTTGCCATTAGCTAAATATTTTAAAAATCATCTACTCTATTTAGATTTATATAATCAACATAATATTAGCAAAATTGGACTGAAAAGTTTAAATCTTCCAAATTTCTATTGTTATATTTAAAATCTTGCCTGCCCATTGACTTACTACATGACCTTGAGAAAGGTATAACATCCATTTCCTTGTCTTATAATGGGGTTAATAATGGGACCTACCATTATTTGTGTGGCGGATTAGAAAAAGAAACAATAAATGCACAGAGTCTTTGGAGTAGACCAGACACCCAGTAAGTGTTGGCTAATGCAACACTTGTTGGCTAATCTTAATGGGGCACAGTTATCTGAACATATCATCATACCAGTGTCATGACTCCCATCCGATCCATTTCCCTGGCAGGGCTTCTTGGGGTGAGCTTTGGCGTTGAGTGTCCACTGGGGGGAGATGAACTGGCCAGCGATGAAGCTGTAACAGAGGCAGTGATGGAGGTACCTGGGTGGACCCTTGCCAAATTCAGGCCTTCCAGGCTCACACTAGCCACTCTGTTCTCAATTTCTTCAGCACGCAACTCTGTAGATTCTTTTTCTTCTTGAATTAGCCTGAAAGATACAGTTTAATTTTCCCTATTATATGCTACTGTAGTGTCAACTGGAATTTCATACGTATCATTTTAAAATGTTAAATATTTTATGTCAAATCTAGTATTTCCATCTTTATTTCTTCTCTAAGAGGTACAACTTTCAATAAATTTCAAAAACTTCTGGGCTATGATTTAAGACATCCTCTTTTTTCTTTTTTAGGATATGTAATTCCTGACCATTTTCAGTTTGTTCTTTCTACACCACTATCCTGCAAAAACCCTTTTAAAACCTTGCTGCCTAGTTAAGTTTTACTACTAATTCTAATCTTGCATTCAAACTTGGATACCAATAAAAACTCCTTCAGAGATCTGGATCTCAGTAGTCATTTCACTGAGATTCTGTCCAGTAACAAATTTAATTGATAAGATCTTCAGTGAGTGCTCATCCATAATTATCATAGGCCATGTAACATCCAAACTCTTCTTAAAACACTAATCTCTCTGGGCATGGGCTCAGTCTGGGCAAATAGTTTGCAAGACCATGTCCCCAAAACACCCAACACACAAAAAAGTTGACAGTGCCTCAAGTGGTAAGAGCACCTGCCTTGCAAGTGTGAGTTCCAGAGTTCAAACCCCAGTGCTGCAAAAGAAACACTAACTTCTACTTAACTAAGCCTTCCTTAAGTAAGTACTAAGAAACCTAACAAAGTAGAAATGTAGTTAGATACATAGAGAGATAGGGGAAAATAAAAAACAAACTGTTAATATAAATGTGTTTGATAAGGTAAAGACACTATCTGTTACTTTTTATCTTTTCTCTTTTTTGGAGGCACTGCAGTTTGAACTCATGGCTTCATGCTTGCTAGGCAGGCAGTTTCCATACCTCCAGCACATTTTACTCTGGTCATTTTTCAGATATGGTCTCACTTTTTGCTCAGGCTAGCCTGGATGGCAATTTTCTCATTTATGCTCCCTACTGTAGCTGGGATGGCATGCACACGCTTGCGCCCAGCTTTTTCTGTTGAGAAAGGGTTTCAAGAACATTTTGCCCAGTCCACAATCCCCTCAAGAAACTAAGATTACAGGTGACAGCCACTACACTCAGCTCTCTTTTTCTATAAACAGGAGGACTTTTGCAGAATATTTATAAATTAGTTATTAAAAAGTCCCAAGTATTTAAGAGATTTTTTTAGTTTGTGTAAAGATCTTGAGTGGGTCATAAGCCACTCCTTAGATATTTTGTTCCTAACCACAAATAGATTATTGTGATTCCTCTATGTAATCCCCTTACAGAAATGAGTTTAAAAGTCTAATCAAATACAAGTTGCATATACATAAGTGCACAGAAGCAATGCTAGGAATCTCTCTGTATTATTATCTTTGTCTCAAACTAACAAAAACACTATGTCTTTCTTATTATCTCCTATGCTTTCTCTTCAAAAAGAGGGCAGAACAAATTCTGCCCCAAAGCTGGGGAAGGGGGTAGAGAGGGGAAGGGAGAAGTGGCACAAACAATGTATACACATGTAAGTAAATGTAAAAACTATAAAGTAAAATTAAAAAGACAATACATGTTTACAAAGATTTGTTTTTGTTAAAAAATTAAGAGGCAAGCTTATACTTAATTATAAACTTTAACTTACACAAAGAATATAGATTCTGTTATTCTTGAAATTTGTTTTCATGGATGCATTTGCCTGCCTAGCAAGTGTGAAATTCTGAGTTCAAACCCCAGTGCTGTCCGCTCCAAAAAAGAAAGAAATATCAAGAAGCATGGTGGTTTTGTGGCACAAACAAATTGTAGTTATTTACTCTAGGTCTTTTGCTAATTATAAAGGAGAACCAAACTTTGAGAAAGCTGAGTAAGAAGTATACAGAAACCTAATTAAGATAAATGGTAAGTAGACATTCAGTTTGCTCAAAAGAATAAATTACAATCTGTTGATCTTCAAAATCTTGACATGAATATGGAAAACAAAACAATAACAAAATAGATTCTCTTTAGAATGCTCCACAGGAATCAAGTGGGAGAAGGAAAGGATAAAGATTACAAATTAAGGCAGGCAAAATTGTACCCATCTGCAGAGGAAAAACAGTGCAGTGGCAAACAAGTTTGAAATAATTTGACCCCAATCTTTAGGGAAATGAGTGAGCTGTGAATAAGTCAGAAAAGAGTATTTTTCTTAACGATTAAATTAGTTCATGAAAGACCAAAAGTCTTAACCAAAGATCAGTTCTGATTGGTATTAGCAGATCACCGAAGTTTATATCATATACCTATTTCTTTTGAACGTTGGTATGTGATCAAGTTTTATGTATTTTTCAAATTGGCAACTGTACTAAGCTACATCTTAGTCAATCTATTCTATGATTGTTATTGAAAAAGGACTCTCAAGAAATACAGATTGTTATTGAGGGGGTGTGTTGATATTTTTGGTGACAAGGCTATATGCTTGACCTGTTCAGAGATTTTAACTGTAACTGAATAGCATTAATCAAAAAGTGTTATTCAGGTAGAATATTCTTGTTCTACATTTTTTAAATTTATAATAATCAAATATTAATAGAGAACTTTCCATATGCAAACAAAGTGCTGAGATTTAGAAATAAAAGTGAACAAAAGAAGGTTAGTAAAATCCTTCACTGAAAATGTAATGGTAAAGCCATTCAAGCTGAATAAGAGCAAAAGGTTGTCATGTTAGGTTAAAGGGGTATGGAATGGCGAGAATGTTCCAGAAGAAAGTAGCAGCAGCAAGAAAGGAATGATCATGAAGCACTCAAAGAGCTGGAAGTCATATATAATGCAACAGGAGTAGGAAACATGAATGGCAAAAGAGTGATGAGATGGGAAGGGCTTTGTAAGCCACAGTGAAAATTTTGGTCCTAATATTTAAGAGCAGTTGAAGAGTTTGAAAGTGAGAATATTTCAGATTTAAAAAGCCTGCACTGGCTTCAATACTAGGTTGGATTAGTTACAGAAATGAAAGAATACAAAGAAACCAGGTATGTGCAGCAGATAAATTTCACCAAGTTGGTATTGTCCAAATGAGGAGATATTGTAATGTGTAGTAGGGTGAGACCTTAATAGGGTGAAATAATAGAAGAGACCAAGTAGATTTGAATCATATCAAAAGGAGGTAAACAGAGTTAATAAGAGCCAGAAAAAAACCCAAAGAAAAGCATGGAACAAATTAGTGAAAAAACAAAACACAACAAAAAATCCTGTTAATCAGTTGAAAAAGAAAGTTATGAATAAATTCCTATGCTCAAAATAAAACAAATCCACCTGCCATATTAGGTTCCTAACTACAGTTAGAGTAATAAGAGAAAACCAGTTGGATGTCATTGGGATAAACTATATTAAGTTAAAAAGGAAATCATTTATAATTGCTAATATTTCTTAATATTTGAAAAGTTAACTTGTGCAATTTCATTTGCAAAGTAGAAATCACCTACTTTTTAGATCTCTGGATATGGTGTGATGATAGTACATTTTTTTAATCTCCTATAAAATAACTCATAGTTAATACACATTACCCACATGCTTTATTGGCTATGAAATAAAAGTATAATAAAAAAATAGGCATGGTAGAACATGCCTGCAATCTCAGCTTTCAGGAGGCTGAGGCAGGAGGATTGAAAGTAAAAGGTAAAAAGACAGCTTGGTATTCTATCTAAAAAAATACCCCCAAATATAAGGAGATTTATTATACTATAATATTAAATTGTGTCTGCCAGATATACTTAAGCCTCTTATATTTAAATAATGCAAATGAATTTGATTTTCCTTTGCTTACTTAGGACAGTTGTACAGGTAAATCTCCCAAAATGGAGACTTTTCTTGACCAGTCTGATTTGCCATGAATTTCAATACTAGTGTGTGAACATTTAATTTGTGTCAATATAAGGAGTATTAATTAATTACTGGGAGAAATCTACACAAGAATTTGGTCTCATTTTGAAATATGGTAGTAACATACTGAAAAGCATTGTTTAACCACTAGTGAACACACTATATAGCATAAAACAACCCACAATTTTCATCCAAGTTTCTACTAAAGAAATTTAAACATTATTGTTAAAAAGTTTATCCTATTATTTATTTATTTATTATAATTCACCTTAATTTATTGATTTTAAATTTTTTTCTTTTTTAAATTGTTTTTATACTTACTTACATGTGTTTACATTGTTTGGGCCACCTCTCCCTGCCTCCCACTCACCCTGCAGAACCTGTTCCACCTCTTGTTCTCTGATTTTGTTGAAGAGAAAATGTAAGAGATAGTAAGAAGACATAGTGCTTTTGCTAGTTTCAGATAAAGACAGCTATACAGAGAGATTCCTAGTATATTGCAAACCCACATTGGTTCATCTCTGCCAGACCTCTTCACTACTTCCTGGTCCCCATCCCATAGTGGCCTCTGCCAGTTTAAGGTTACTATATTTGCTCCTATACAGTGAGCACATCAACCACATTCAAGTTTTAGGTTTCCTTCCCTTTCACTATACCTCCTGTACACGTTCTCCCATTAATGTGTGACTGATGTCCAATAATATTACTGCATTTGTTTTAGGTCTATAATCTGCATATGAGGGAAAACATGCTATTTTTTGTCTTCTGAGCCTGACTAATTATCCTATTTTTTGAGATCACTAACATTAACTTTTCTTTTTAGTGGTTCTGTCAAAGATCACACTATTCTGATTTTAGCATATGCTCCTCCATGGACTGAACTGTGTTTCACCTACCAACCCTCATTCATAGGATAAAGCCCTAACTCTGCATATGACTGTTTGGAGATGCAGTCTTTAGGAAGTTCAATAAAGTCATAAGAGTGAGACATTAATCTGAGAGAATCAATATTTTTGATTTTGCTTTTTCTCTGTCTCTGAGAGCCTTAATAAGAAACTTGGTCTTGAACTTTTAGTCAACAAAATTGTAAGAAAATAAATTTTGTCAAGCCACTGTTGGCCTATTGTATTTTATTATGCCAGCCCAGGAATGTTCCACTGGTGATGAGTGAAAAAAAAAGTGGTGATTTTTTAAAAGGCCCTTAACATTTATAAATATACACTATCCCTGACATAACAGTTTAAAATTGCTTTAAAAATAACATTAAGTTGATTTCACTCAAATATCCGAATGCTTTTAAGAGAGATAAATGTACATTAATTTGCATGTATGTGGTACCTTTATTGCAGTGTGAAATATACTTGAAGAATGTGCCTTAATACCACAAATATTTTCAACTTAAATAGTGAATTTAAGTTTAAAAAACACTTTAAAATTCACTGAAGAAAATTTTACCTTTAACTTATTCTTTTATATTGTCCCTACTATCATGAGTCTGTATATGTTTCATGTGTGTTTCTTAAAAGGACTGTCTGAAGTTTACACGGGAGATAAGTAGATATCTGGGAGTCTTGTGAAAATGCACATTCTTTTAAAATGAGTGAATATGAGGTTTTGGATTCTGCAAGTCTAACAAGCTCTAGTCTGTAAATCACATTTTTTGTGCAAGGTTTTGTAATCTCTTCAAACTATCAATTCAAATTGAACTCACCTTATTTCTTTGTTGATTGCATCCAATTGTTCCTGCAGCATCATAGCTAGAGTCTGGGCATCAGAATGACCGCTCGGAGAGAGAAGATCCATTGAGCTAAAAATTGTTTCTCTGTCATCGTCATCAATATCAGACATTTCAGTGTCACTTTCAAAAGGGTGGCTACTTAGTACTCCAATTTGTTGAGTTCTATTCCACTCATGATCACCAAGTGATTTTACCTGAATGGTAAATGCACAAAATAAAATATCATCTTGCTCATTTAAAAAGAATTAATCTAAAACATAACAACAACAAGACACACAAGCTTTCATAGCTGGTTTCCCAATAGTATAACTGAATATTAAAATTTTAATTTACTGACTCAACAAAATATGTCCTTGACATCTTAAGCAATGGAAGATATTGTCAGTATAAATATCAATATTTTAATAGAAATAAAGATGATAAACTTCCATATGATTTGTAGTTCAATTACATTTCACGTCATCAATTATCTTAAGGCATCTACTTTGGTGTCACTTTGCCTCATTTCTTTTTCTTTTAATTTTCTTTTATTGTTTTTACATTTATTTGGATTTCTAATTATAACAATCTCAACTTACTTGTGCTCTACATTTGGATTTTTATACTAATTAGTCTCTTACATTTTTCTTATTAAAATTTGAGACTACAAATATCATGTACATAAGAATTCTCTTCCCAAAACTCATTTATAGGCAGAGTGGGGTAGCCTGTAATCTCACTACTTGGGAGGCAGAGATTGGGAGGGTAACATTTCAAGGTCATTCCAGGTAAAAAGTTTGTGAGACCTCCCTTCTCAACCAATGCCTGGAGGTGGTGGCATGCCTATCATCTCAGCTGTGCAAGGAAGCATGAATAGGAGGATTGTGGTTCAAGCCAGAGACTGGGAATAATCAACACCCTATCTCAGAAATAACCAATGTAAAAACAAAAAGGTCTGGTGGAGTGGCTCAAGTGGTAGAGGACCTGTCTCACAAGTGTGAGGCCATGAATTCAATCCCAGCACCAAAAATCTCACTTACATAGGTTTGAACAAAATTTTATTAAAATATTGCAAAATAATTTAACCTCATCTCTACTTCTGTGGTCACTGGAACATTTTATTTACATTTTAATCCCAAAGCATGCTAATTTCCATGGCTTACATTTTTAAATTAATATAATAACTCCTCCTTTTGAAAGAGAGTTTTAACTAACCAATAGGCCACAGTTTTGTAAACTGTGATTTGAAGGCATGACAAGGTTGGACATAAAGGATAAGCCCTAGAGACTTTTCCTTTTTTAAAAAAAAATTTTCATTCCTGTGATCTTGAAAAATTAGTTATATGAAAGATCCCATGATATTCCCTTGACTATTGACATAAGAATTGAGGACGTGAATTAGCACTTGAGTTACAAACTGTTTTGGCACAAAGGAACACTAATTTATTTGCCATATAATAATGAGAAAAGAACTGATATGAACTTAGTTTTCATTTATTCATTCACGCATTCAGCAGATGTTGGAAGACTGCTTTGGTGGATTAATTTATATATGACATATTAGTATCACTTGCAACCCAAAAAGTTGTGAGGGCCGCTGTTGAGGAAAAATGTATACTGTCTTGGATACATAAAAGTGGTTGAGGGGGGCAAACTGAGGGCACAGAAGAATTCTATTACTTCTCTATAAAATACAATTGCATTACTTACTCAAAAAGCACAGCTTAAAATTTTTAAGCTTCTTTAAATGAAGGGCTGGTACTACAGTTTATCATTTATAGGTCTCTATAAACACTTTTCAAACTTTTCATGTATTAATAATACAATATTTAATTGTGATAATTCCATGTATGCATGCAGTGTACCTTGAACATGCTCACCCTCTCCCTTACACTCCCATTCTCCCTCTTCCTTTTCCCTCTATTTCAAACAGTGTTTAATGGTTTCATTATACTGTCTTCATATGTGTATATGCAACATCCTCTTTATCCCTTAGTATCCTTTTCTTTCCCCCTCTCTCTTCCGGGTGTTGTTCTCCTAGGTAGTCCCCCATCTACATTCATGTTCCATCATCATCATCATTTTAGGTCTAGGTTCCACAAATGAGTAAAAGCATGCAATGTTTGGCCTTTTAAGTTTGGCTGATCTCACTTAGCATGATGACCTATAAACACTTTGGATAATCTATGTGCAATGCTTAAAACATGGTATTTGAAACCACACAAAGCATGCTCGTGTTGATTCAATCAGTGTGTTAAGTGTATAATGTTGAACATTTAATCTTTCTGAGCCTAAAACGTTTTACGTCTAAAATAAGCATACAAAAAATAGTATCCCTTCATAATATCATACAGATAAATATATGTGAAATGCTCAGCTCAACTTCTAGTTTATGTTAATTATCATTTTTTAAAATGTCATACTTTGTGCTTGAGACTAATAAAAATGTTAGCACTTTGAATTCTGTCCATGGTAAAAAATTCTACCCCAAATGGAATTATGGTTTTAATTTAAATGAATGAATTGAAATAAAGTGGTTGACCTTTGGTTCATCTCTCCGCACACCCATGCGTCCTCTCCTTGGTCTTCTTATCACTTTAGTCGTTCTGTAATCAGACTGGTTGTCCACTAGGGATCCAACTGAATACCGCAACTCAGCTGAGGTATCCAGATGAGTTCTGGAAGAAAAGAAAAGTATGAACTATATTCAATTTCAAAGTTTAAATTTACCGGCTTAATTAGCAGTGAAGCATAGACCATCTATGAAATAAATCTCAATGAAGGAAATTGGGAAATTGTTATGTTCTTTGGGGCCTCTTCAGACATATATCAGAAGTTTCAGTCTCAGTTCCATTTCTGAGGGTCAGATGCATTTTCATCTTTTAGAACATGCAAATAACTTTTCTGTTTACTATCATTTTCAAGTGTGGGAGTTAAATAAAATATGTTAAGATAGATAACCAAGATCCACTGAATTAAATTGTGGCAGTTCTATATAGGTTGTGCTCTTTAATGGATATCTCATTATTCCCCACTTATAACATTTGTTTTAAATATTTTTCATTATCCCAAGTGAAAAACATGCAAAGTGATGGTTATCTAGAACTTTTTCCAATTTTCAAAATTTTGGAGAAACTCCATACCATCTCTATTCAGCAAACTTCTATTTTTCTTTTTTTTTCATTTTTCTTTTATTATTCATATGTGCATACAAGGCTTGGTTCATTTCTTCCCCCTGCCCCCACCCCCTCCCTTACCACCCACTCCGCCCCCTCCCTCTCCCCCCCCAATACCCAGCAGAAACTATTTTGCCCTTATTTCTAATTTTGTTGTAGAGAGAGTATAAGCAATAATAGGAAGGAACAAGGGTTTTTGCTGGTTGAGATAAGGATAGCTATACAGGGCATTGACTCACATTGATTTCCTGTGCGTGGGTGTTACCTTCTAGCTTAATTCTTTTTGATCTAACCTTTTCTCTAGTACCTGTTCCCCTTTTCCTATTGGCCTCAGTTGCTTTAAGGTATCTGCTTTAGTTTCTCTGCGTTAAGGGCAACAAATGCTAGCTAGTTTTTTAGGTGTCTTACCTATCCTCACCCCTCCCTTGTGTGCTCTCGCTTTTATCATGTGTTCATAGTCCAATCCCCTTGTTGTGTTTGTCCTTGATCTAATGTCCACATATGAGGGAGAACATACGATTTTTGGTTTTTTGAGCAAACTTCTATTTTTCAATTAAAAAAATGACAAATGCTTAAAAGCAGATTGATACCTGGTCAATAATCTTATTTTTTTAAATAAAAGCAATGTTTTGGCTTTTGGCAAGACAAAATGATAAATAAAAATCTTTCTGTATGCACATTTGATTCTAATATTTGCTTTGAGATGAAGAGTTGGAAAATTCCAATTGGAAAATGTCACCACACTGGTTTTCAATAAACACAGTAATAAAGTACACTCCAATCAAAGCGCAGAGCAGGTTTCTAAAGCACATTATTTATATATATATTTACAACATATTATTACTATAATAATGTTTATGATAATAATCACGAGTTCATGCTGTCCTATAAAATCAAATAATAGATCCATCATCCATAAGCAATATACTTAATACTGCATTTCTGTTGAACTGAGGCTGGAACTTCCTTCCTTAGTTCCCTTTGTGAACAGTGACAAGCAATTTTGAATATTTGGCAAGATTTTAAAAGTTTGGTTGAGGCTTATATTTCTGCAAAAATTGGAGACATTGCCCCAACTTAAGAAAGAGCAAATGATAGATAATACATAAAGATTAATTAACCAGGCATACTAAGAAATTGCACCACTCTTAGTCTTCATCTACTAGACAGAGGATCTAAGGCTCAATCAGGCTTAACGACCATTATTTCCCAAGGAGGGTTATCTGGCACATAGTAAGCACATTGTAAGCATCTACTAAAATAATGCATGAATAAAATTATACAGTAGCTCCAAACTACTTAGCTCAGAGCACTCTATGTCTCTTTACCTGTGGTTACTTACATTAATATCCCTTTGGGCATCAGAGCAGAGTTTCTAACATTGTAACTCCTTATCCTAGGAACATTGTTTTCTTGTTGTGTTACCTTGGGACTTCATTTATAAAAACATAGAACACAACACAGAACTGGTACATCACTGCCCTGCTTAAAATATGTCAGTGTCTTTTTAAGGCCCTCTGTAATCTTTGCCTTTCTTAATTTCCACCTTCACTTTTAACTATTCTTGCCTTATTTTCTATCCAGCTGAACTGACTTCAATAATTCACATCTTATCTCACTTCTGAGTCTCTGGACATGTTGCCCTTTCTACTGGAAACAGTCCCTTAAAGCATTTAAATGGTTAGTATTCTTAAAGTGTCGGCTTTAAAATCCAATTGCTACATGCTATGCAGCTCTCAGTATTCTCCTGTATTTTTCATCTGGAACATTTGTTTTTCATTAGAATGTATCTCCAATACATCAATTTCTGGCAAGTAAAATGTGCTTAATAGATCTGGAGGGAGCAAAAGAATTGAAGCAACACCAAACCTCTTTTAGGAGCCACTACTTAAACTTCATGCAAATAAGTTATTGTTCACCTCTCTCCTTCAGTTCTCTGAGCTAGCTCTCTCACAGGGGAAAACAGAAGCAATTTTTAAGTCATTGGAAATATACAATTTGAGAGGCTTTTGACAGGTCTGTTACAAAATAGTCATCAGTTCCTTTAAGCAATGAGCCTGTAGTTTCACCCCTGGAATCTCCTTAAAGAACTTCCAAAAATAAATTAAGTATGAATTTTCTTACAGAATAGCCCTCACTCATCCCTCTGCTTTCTAGAACATCTTCTATCATCTTTTTCAGTTATCTATATCCTAGATTTTCTTTATAGTTTAATCCAAATCAAGCCTTTGCTAGCCAAACTGAAACTCTTTCCACTTTCCTCTCCTATGAGATATTAGTATAGAATATTAGATACTGATAATCATTAGCCTTAGCTATTCCCTTGACTCCTTCTCTTCTTTAAGGTCAAAACTGGAATAATTGAGTATTCATGCATCTTCTGTTACACACACACACACACACACACACACACACACACACATGATTATATGCCTTCAAAATCAATTGTCAATAAATAATTACTTTTTAATAAATATAAGATTATCTCTACCTTTTTATAAATTCCAGCAGTTCAGCCATCTTAATAATTCTCATAATAACTTTATACTTGTGACAATAACTTACTGTTTACAAAATCCCCATTGCCCATTTGTCTCATTTTACATGCAAAGTTTATGTGATAATCTAGAAAATACTAATTGAATATATATTCGTGTAAAATATGAATTAAGTTATAATCTTATTTTTAAAAGGTTTTTCCAAAATTAAACATCTAATAATTATCTCTTTGGAATCCAAGAGAGTGGGTCATCTATTCTTGGTCTAGTGTCCTTTCTACTGCCACCTGTGAATGAAAGAATAATTGCTCCGCATGGGTCCAGTGAAGTCCATTGTAGATAAGCATTATATTGTTTGCCTGCCATGATGACTCACTATAGTAATGGACTTTTAGACACTTGTACAATTCTGCTTTTCTGAGACCCAAGTCAAAAAGGCAGGAAAATGACCATTTGACCCTAATAGAAGGTAATTCATCTGTTGATGAGAAAACCAGTCCTTTCCATCATCATCACAACTATGTGAACACATATCACTGCATTAATAATTTCAGTTTATATATACAAATCAGAATTTAAAAATTTGAAAAATAAACATAATTTTCTAAATTAATTACATATTTAAAAGTTCTTTGGTTGTCATTATGACTGAAGAACTGTGTTTCTCATACTAAATTGAAGGAAGAAATATTCAAATATTGAATATTGTTTTTATTTACACTTCCACTGAAAAGAGCATACAATCTACAGGATTTTTATTGTCCACCTGAAACATATTTACTTGGCACATACTACATGCCAGGTAGTGCTCAGATGGCAGTTGTTATCAAAATGAACACATATTTATGTCCTTGTGGAGTTAATGTTCTTAAGATGAACACAGTTTGTGGCTGTCGAAAATTTCAAACACATTGTAATAGTCTGTACTGCCTAGTAAATACATGATTAGATGAGTGAGTCCCTCTATGATTTTTAGCAACTTTAAAGGCCTTAAGCACAAAAGAAAATTATGTGGGAGGTATTAACATGTATATCTATCAATTTGTACATCTGTCTAGTGAGTGGAAAGTCAACCCATTGCTTCTTTCATTTATGATGGAATTGTGAACCAAACTATCCAGGCATGGTTAAATTTAACTGAATGCTTCTTTTTACACATGTAATTTTTCCTTCTATCTTAATTTTCAATTACTTTAAAAGAACAGATAGATGCTAAGTGACCCTACTCAATATTTGTTTAGTCATGTTAAGAAATGAACCTGTTTCTGCATTGAGTGCATATAGAAAAAAGGCTGATGCCTCCTGTTGGAATGAAATGTAATCTTATACACAGTTCTATTTCTTCATTTAAGAATCTTTCAATATATTTCTGTCTATATAATTAAATGCAGAATACAAATGTTTTAATCTGCATGTTTATTGGATATCTATCTATAGAAAGGATTTCTAAATTAGAAAGATATTACTGAATGCAGAAACCACTTCAGGAAAGAGTAAAAATAAGGAAATGATTATTGTGCAATAGGAGATATTTATTTTAGTTAAGTAGGTATGAAACCATAAAGAAATTCATATTGAGATTATAACATAATGCACTGAACAGTAAGCTGTTTAGTATTAGGGGAGCAGGTGATAGACAATGAGTAAGCAATAGAGGGAAGGGGGTTGATTTGATAAACACAACATAGACAGACCTAAAGTACCAAGGTGAAACCCCCTTGGACTATCCATATACACTTAATCTAAAAAATGAAGCGCATGAGGGAAAAATAAATCTTTTTTGGGGGGTGGGTACCTGTTGGAGGGGAAGGGCACAAGGAGAGGGGGAATGAGGGTGAATATGGTGGATGTGTTTTGTATACACATATGAAAATAGAAGAATGAAATCTGTGGAAATTGTGCTAAGAAACGGGCTGGGGGAAGGAGGGAGAATGATGGAGGGGGTAAATCCAGCTAAGAAATATTTTAAACACATATGTAACTATCACAATGTACCCCCTGTACTACTAGTTTATATAATAAAATCATAAATAAAAATAATTCATACTGAAATTTAGTGCAACATACATAAGCTTTTAATTTAATATTACCTTGATATTGTGGGTTCAATTAAAGAGCCAGTTCTCATCTTCAATTGGTCAAGTTCAGATCTCAGCTTTTCAATTTCTTCTGCTAATCTTTCCTAAAAATCAAAAAAGTGTTACTCAGATGGTAGTCATATGACATTAATGCTAACATTTAATTATATAAACCAATGTCTTTTTGAAAAGGTAAACTGGCTGGATATGTTTTTACTGAAGATTATTAGGTATATATATTTTTCTATATAGTTAGGCATTAACTATATACATATTTTCGCAAATATATAAGGAATGTTAAAATCACTAGCTATGGAGATATCAAATCAAAATGCAAAGTAGAAATCATATCTTATTTCTTAAATCCAGAAAACATCTTATTTACACAGTAAGTAAAGAATTTCAATTATCCTTAGAGGGTAAAGGACAAAAGTTGAATTAAAATACCAGCAAAAAATATCACCTTAAGAAAGAAAATTAACCTCCTAATTTTGGGCTTGGTACCAGTACAATTGTTTGTACTCTGACAGTTTTCTTAGGTTGATATTACACATTTTCATGTGTAAACTTATGAAGAGAGGGGTTGTCTTATCAATCTTCGTTAAGTGATAATGAAAGCACTTAATTTTGTTTCAATGACTATAATATTTACACTATGTATAAATATCATTTCTCCTTTTTCGGTGGCCAGTGCTTAACATTTTATTTTATTAAATTAAATTAAAATAATTTTATTAAATTATATTTCTTTTTCTTGCCACACTTTAAGTCAGTATGGCCATTGTAATGTTTCTCTTAACTTTCCTTTTTACTCTCAAAATCACTAACATACTCTAATTTCTTTGAATCTTTTTCTTGAACTTCCTTGTCAGCTTCAGTTTCTTCCTTATATATCCTTCTTCTAGTCACTTAAAGCATGTGTACAAATAATTGCTTTGCTTTAAAAAGTCAATAATTTCTTGCTGAATTTGTTAATTCATTTTGGAATGACAAACTTCTTGCCCTCTCTTAATTTAAAATCTAGAGAGAATAAAGAAAGGATGTAGTTCGAGGAAAGGGTGTAGGAGGGTGAATGTAGTGGAAATATTATGTACTTATGTATGAAAATGGAAAAATGAGACATGTTGAAACTATTCTAGAAATGGGAGGAGGAAAGGGTAAAGGACAATGAGGAAGGAGGTGAATTTAGCTATGATATATTGTAAAAACTTTTGTAAATGTCACAATGTACTCCCAGTACAACAATAATAGGATAATGAAAATTAAGATTAAATAAACAAAATCTAGTGTGAATGACAAACAATGAAAAAGTAGGAATGTGCTAGGAAGAAATGGAGTCGCAGAAAGGTTCTCCAATGTTAAAATGATACTTACGCAAAGACTTAAAGAGAGGTAATAAAATATGGTGACATCATAGAACAAGCTTTTCAGCAGAAGGAAGAACAAGCACTAATACTCCTTAATGGAGTACATTGGTAAGGTACAGAACAAGACTTCTCAAAAGACCAAAAATCGTATGTTCTCCCTCATATGTGGACATTAGATCAAGGGCAAACACAACAAGGGGATTGGACTATGAGCACATGATAAAAGCGAGAGCACACAAGGGAGGGGTGAGGATAGGTAAGACACCTAAAAAACTAGCTAGCATTTGTTGCCCTTAACGCAGAGAAACTAAAGCAGATACCTTAAAGCAACTGAGGCCAATAGGAAAAGGGGACCAGGAACTAGAGAAAAGGTTAGATCAAAAAGAATTAAGCTAGAAGGTAACACCCACGCACAGGAAATCAATGTGAGTCAATGCCCTGTATAGCTATCCTTATCTCAACCAGCAAAACCCCTTGTTCCTTCCTATTATTGCTTATACTCTCTCTACAACAAAATTAGAGATAAGGGCAAAATAGTTTCTGCTGGGTATTGAGGGGGGGAGCGGGAGGGGGCGGAGTGGGTGGTAAGGGAGGGGGTGGGGGCAGGGGGGAGAAATGAACCAAGCCTTGTATGCACATATGAATAATAAAAGAAAAATGAAAAAAAAAAAAAAGACTTCAACGTCGGTGGATTGGAGAGGTTTAGGAGAAAGATGGACTTGGGTAGTTTAGAACAGTAGGAGTGAGAAAGGGTGAGGATGTTTTTGAACGGCATTGGAAGTGATTTTAAGCTCTGTTTTTCACTCTGAGTGAGATAAGGAGCAAGTGGAAGGTTTTGAGCAGAGAAGTGATGTGATCATTCTGATAGCTCTGAAAGGGATGATTGAATGGGACTGGGAGGCAGGAAAGAAGAGTTATTAGGACATTTCGAAAACATAGACAGTAAGTCAAGGTTTGGACAAGAATGGTTTTGGGAGATTTTGAGTTGATTTTTTTTTTCTGGCAGTGAGATAAACAGAGGGGTTAAGAATTACTCCAAGTTTTCTAACCTGAGTAACTAAAAGAAAGAAGTTGTAGTTGTGATTTTCTGGTGATTATGGTTATGTTAGATGGTTGTGGTGTTTGGAATGTGGGATTGGGGATGGAGATTAGGAAGGAAATCTGGAAGAAATTTGAAATGTTAGATTTGACATGTGTAGGTACCCAAATGGAGATATTGCATTGGCAATAAAATATATGAAGTCTCTCAGGGAAGAATACCCAGGAAATAATCTAAATTATGACTGTATTCAATTTATACATATTGGTTAAATTCATGACATCAGATGAGCTCACCAAGGACTGACAGAGTGAGGAGATCTTTAGGAGCACTCTGGGAACTTCAAATTTTGTAGATAAAGATAATAAGAAAATTGTTCAGTGAAGAGATTCAGCACACAGGGCACTTTGCTGACATGACTGTAATGACACTGATAATTTTAGTAATTATATATGCAATCAGATTAGTGAATGTACTCAGCTGTATGGAATGATAGTTCATAAAAGAGAAATGACCTGGGATTACCTTCTCTGGAGATTGACATAAACGAGGATACAAAGCATGAAGTGATTAGAAATGTTGGTTGCTTAGGCAGATTGTTGAAGCTCTACTGCCTGGGTAGGTGGTAGGGGAGTGGGTTCTGAGGATATTGCCAGGAGCACACAGAGCTCTGAATAACAGAACATTGCATAACAAGAGCAAGTCCAAAATCCACAATCTGGTCAAACCTGGGTTTCTAAACACATGCCAGTCCAGCAAACTTCAGATTATTCAGCTAATCAACCGTCTTTGAGTTCTCTGTGCTGTTGCATAGATGCCATTCTCTACCCAGAATGCCCTACTCTTTACTATTCATTTATTAAGATCATATATGTATTTATGAGCTTCCTAAAATGTTGCCCCATCTGTGTAGACTTTCTTAACTACTTTAGAAAGAAACAAATGCTATCTTCTAGGCACCGTATTATATTACTGTAGGAGACCTATCTATCAGCAATTGTTTACATCCTGACTAGGGGACCAAATGATTATTTTTTAAAATAAATATCATAACATGTAGCTTCCTGAGTAATTTTGATATATTTCTTTATTCTCTTGTTTTCAGTACCTTCCATATTGCCATTCTGTTCCCAGATCTTTCCTTTTTCCCTTCCTCCCTTCCTCTCTTTCTCTATTTCTGTTTTCCTCCCTCCCTTTATTCCTCTTTCTTAACTTTCTTTCATTTGCTAACTCTCCATTTCTCTCTCTCAAGTGCCTTTAATCTTTTTTTCTAAAATACAATTGCAGGTCTCTTAAGTTATAAATCTTAATGAAATAAGATTAACGAATTAGGAAAAGAGATATTAACCATTAAGGTTTTTAAGATTTCAGAATCTGGTCTTTATCTACCTCTTATGTTCCCATACCCTGTAACAGAAATAACTGACTTCAGGAAAATTGTTGCTTCATTATTAATATATCACCTTTACTACTGATTCCTCACCCCTCCCAAGCACCATTGATCATACTGTGCACACTGCAATTGTTTAATTCTTTACTCAAATCCTACCTCCTCAAAGCCTGCATAACAGCAATGTGTGGCTATCTTTCCTACATGTGACTCTTGTCTACTTATTGCCATTTGGCATCTGCCACTCTGCATCCTTACTGGTTTGAAAAGTGTGTTTTCTCTCTCAATTAGATTTTTCAGTTACTTTGGAAGTAGGGTCATGTTTGGAAATATATAACTCTGTACCTAATTATGTCTGCAGAAATAATATTTCACTGTAGACACAAATTAGTGCATAGATTTTTATTCCATTAACATAAGGCACAAAGAGAAAACTATTTTTTTGAATTCAAAATAGTGCTTATCTTTAAGGGAAGAGTAGTGACTTTGATTTAACATGAGAGGGGTATCCAGAGTACTGAGTTTTTAGTGCGTTTGGATAGTAAAAACTATTTAACATCTTCAGAAGTATACATATTTCAATAGTATAATATAAAAGTTAAAGTATCCTAAAATATTTCTAATAAAATTTATTTTACAGCAAAACAATCAGTGTGAAAGAGAAAAAGGGGTAAAAATAATATCCGTAATACCTTATCATGTAAAGATTCTTCAAGATTCTTTCTGAAAGTTTCTGATTCTTGAATTAAAACATTCTATGTAAAAGAAAAGAGAAATAAGTAATAAATTATACAGAAAATATTTAAATGTATAAGTTAATGATTGGATCACCCAAAAATCTTTGATTCCTTCCTTAGTGCAACTATTTCTTGGTTTGTGTGGAAACCAAGTTTCAACAAAGTCTTTCAACATGATACCATAACATTTTGAGGAATATATTAAAGTGGAAATGTTATTTTGCAACACTTGGATGGATAAATGAAATAAATACTAACTTTCAAGCTATCTCCAAGCAATTTCTAATTGCTTCTTCTCAGATTAGGTTTTAAATTAGAAATAGATCATTCTTCAAATGAGAAATAGTGGGTAACAAGCTAAATATTATACTGGTATTATGAAAAATGAAGATGGACTCATTTTTATTATATAATGAAAGAAGAAACTATCAAATCATATTTTAAGTGTTTAATTTCTGGACTTTTTTTCAAATACAAAATTAATAATTTCTAAAAATAGTTAAATTATTTGACAAATGAAAATGAAATTGTAGCTATTTAAAATCTAATGTTGCATGTCATGAAGAGATGTAGAAATAATTTACATTTAAATAATCAAAAGAACCTTTGTCATGAAAGTATTATTGTTTTTAAATGTTTTCTACTTTTCCTACAGTTCTACAAAGCATTATTTAAATAATACATTCCTTTGAAATATATACAGTACAATTTTAAAAGATTGTAGTATTTGCAAATGCATGTATTTGGAGTTGTGTGGGAAAAAGCATGCACTATGACTTTCTAACGGGTCAATTAATCAAAATTCTTTAACATATTGAGAAATTTTAAACGTTAGAAGAGAAGGTCTAGTTAAGTAGTGATTGGCATTCAGTTTAAATTTCTGAGAGAATTTATCCACTGGGTTTTAGCCCTTACCTTCTTTTATGCTCTTCAATTGGCAACCAGCTCACATAATTCTTGCTGTTTTGATAGCTAGCAATTACCAGTGAGACATATGTCATTGTGAATCAAATTTTGGATTGAACAAGCACTTTTTCTAAAACAGTGAAATTGAAAATACTGAGTTTCTAAGCTGTCTAGTGGCATTGGCAGTATTTTGTTGATCTTATAAGCTTACTCATACTTGGTGTAGCTGTCATTTGAAACACGAATAGCTCAAAGCAAGCCCCCCAATATTCATTTTAATCTTATTACTCTTTTTCTACATATGAAGAAAAAATAAATATTTTCATCACAAAGGCATAGCAAATTTTAAAACATTGCCTCATTATGAACATGCTAAGATTAAAGATATATTATCATGCAGCATTTTGTTCATTCAAAGATTCATCCTACAATTTTCACAGAAAATTTGATTCCCTTCTATGAATGCATCAGGCATTTTTAAACTTAGAAAAATAAAATGACTACTTGACCAGTACAAAGATGATAGCAGAATATAAAACAGACATGACCATGATATAGTTGCTAGACAATCACGTGCTTGTCCCCCTTGTCACTTTACCTTCTCTTCCAGAGCAGCCATTCTTTCCTTTAAGTGCAGCTGTAGGCGTTCATTGGATTCAGTCAGAAGTCTGTCCACGGTATCTGATAATCTTTTGTTATGCTCCTCATTCATTTTCTCTCTTTGCCTAGCCTTACATTTAAGAAAAAGAAAAAAATGACATGGAAACCAATTTCAGGACTTCATAATCTTGATTTTATTGTATTTCTAGTATTTCAACATGGATTTGATTTTATGCATGCTTTGAATAAATTAGTAGAAACCTTTTTTCTTCAAAATGGAGAGGGCTTATGAAAAGATTTTAAATATAACCCTTAATCAAGTAACTTTTCTGTCTATATATGTTGCTTATAAATCCATAAAGTGATGATGGGGGATGTTTCTTAGTATACATACTCTTTGAAGTTCTTGATTCTTCTCTTCAAGTTGACCTTCTAGATGTCTCATACGTTCTTCAATATTTCCATGTCTCTCTTCAGCCTGTTAAGAAATATGAAGAATGCACCTGAAATGTAAGATGTGGTTAACTCTTTTCCTCTAATTAAATTGAAATAAAATGTGAAGCAAGCTACTACCAACTGCAAACATAGTTTTCAAAAAATAAACTTTCTTTAAACAGGCAGCTGAACAGCATTGCTTGAAATGTGTCAGCTACAAAGGCCTGTTACATCCAAGCATCAGCAAAACATTGGAGTTATTTATGAGCAATGATATCAGCCAAATGTAACATGCAAACTGTGCATGGTTTGAAAACAAACCTGCCATTGTCCAATCTTAAGCTCCTGAAGCACTGAACTGCACAGATGGTCGATTATCAATAAATAAAAGTAACAGAATTTTCATAAATGAAAAGAAAAACTTAGATGGATTCTATTTAGCAATAGAAAGTAAAGTCCAGTAGGACTACCTTCCTACGTATGGAGATCATTTCTTGTAGTTTAGCTTCCATAACATATTGATAATCATCAGATGAGGTAGAAGAGGTTGGATCAGACTAACAAGTCAAGGAAAAGGAGAGGGACAAAATTGAAAAATCAGAACTAAAGACACTGACACTGAACAGAACATAGCACAGAATGCTTAAAATAAAACGTGACAGCAAATTTAATACTTCAATAGACAGAATTTTATGTGGAAAGAACTACACTGATATCTGGTGAACTTGGTTATAAATGAAAAACAATGATATGTTAAAATAAAAAGCTGTTGACCTGAGACATGGAAGGTTAGTGATGGCTGGCAATGAATGACTACTACAGGATGAAGTAAAGCAACTCTGGAAAAGTCATGTAATAGTTGGAATTATGGGAAACCAAACACTAGAATATGTCTCTGACAGATCATTTAAAGCTCTATATTTTAGTTTTTTTGTTTATCGTATTACTTAAAATAATGAAAACAGTGTATTTCAATATCAGGGACTTTGCAAGGCAATGACTCAGGTGTAACAGATTTAGAACAAATTTTATTATAAATAGTAATCTGTAGAAATCATCAAAAAGCTAAGCCATAGAGCAAATTATTATGAATATTTCCTGATTCAAGCAAGATTGAGTTTCCTCAGCAACAGTGACCAATTTATTAAATGACTTCTGGTCTCTGAATGCATATTATGGTCATTGATTTATTCTCAGATGTTGTTTTAATTTAAAAATATAAATGAAAATGATTAAAAGTCCTCAAATTATCAAGATGACATAATGCTGTGAGGACAAGAAACTATTTGTGAACTCTTCTAAATGACACGAAGTGCCACTCCCAAACTGTTACTGCATTGATTTGTTGCTTTGGAAACAAAATAGTGCCTTAAAGTGAAAAGGCAGCACAGACCTCTTTGAGCATTGTTTGCTCAGTGTTAAGGTCAGTTACATGTCTTTGGAGGTGACTGTCAGGTTAGTGCAGAGTGTTAACACATGTGACATTGCTGATAGTTGAATTGTATTAGTATGTTATGCACAAACCACATATAAAGTTACATCAATACTTTAATTGTAATTGCAATTTAAGTAAGTATAACATGAAAACAACCTTATGTCAGGATAATAAATGTTAACTTCAGTTTATATTACTTCAGAATTCATAATTTCATTCTAACATAGTGGAACTTGTACCAAAATAGATACATATGTAAATATTTCATGTAGTAACTAAAAAGAAATAGAGAACTACTCATCAATCATTTCATATACACCTCTGATATTTTATGCAAAAAATTCAGTCTAATCTATGTTATGTACATTTAACATTTCAAATATGGTAGACTTATGTGCATCATAACTCAACATTTACATTTGCAAAATTTTCCTTCTGATAACTTTATCTCATAAATGTGCAAAATTATGAAGAGATAACAAATAACCAGTTATTTCCCATTTCCACAAATTTTCAAACAAAAGCAACAGAGAAAGCTATGATGATTGTCAAATATAATAAAATGGTTTACATATCATTTAAAACTTAGCACTATTAAACAAGAATATAGTTAGTTGATTAAGATGTTGAAACTCAATAATCTAAATTTATATATATTTATATAAATGTATATATGTGTAGTCTTTCAAAAGTACATTTTGAAAGTTTGTATATTAAAATTAATCAAGTTACTGACTCGTAATATTCATGGCATGAATTCTCTAACTTCTTAAAGTTTTCTCTTAAAGCATACAAGTTTTTAAAGATCCTTAAAACTTCTACCTAATTCTGTCATAAGTACTGAAAATGCAAAAATATTTTGAAAATTCATTTCAGACATGGAAAAGAATCCTGTCATGTCTAAATTACTGTTTCTACTGATATTTTTATTGGTGTTAGAATGAATGAAATACTTTATGGAATGGAAGATGGATTATGTCCTTCCTGAGCAAATGTGCATTTTAATTAAGTATGTATAATGAATTATAAAACTGGGAACCCTAATTGGTCTTTAATGGTTAATTCTATATAAACTTGTTAAAGCCAAAATTTAGTTTTATACATCAAATTAATCAAGAATTCCTTCTAAAAGTCTTAAATGGACTTTACCTACATACACTCACACACACAAATGAAAAGATGAAAAGTAGTCTATCAACCATTGGGTTAATAATAAATTAAAAAATGATTTCTGGGATCATACAGCAAATTGTTACTGATTTATGTTTATCTTAGCACTGTGACTAGTATAGTTCCAGAAACTGGTGTAAATACAACTATCACAAAGGATATTTCTTATATTTCTTGAAGTGAAACTATGTTCACTTCACTTTCACTCTTTATCATGATGTAGGAAATTTTCAAATAAGCTGAAATTTTATAAATAAAACTATAAGCAGAAATGACTCTGAGAAGACTTGTGAATATATTCAGAAATTGTGAAGAAATTAAAATTAAAAAAACAAAGATCTAGGAAGAAAAAATAGGTAGGGAATATGTATAATCAGGAGTAGAAGGCATAGGTTCAAACTCAGCAGAAATGTTTTTCTTTAGGGAGTAGTCAAAAGAATAAGTAGAGAAAGAGACTATCACGATCATTAATATTGAGATATTGACAATATATTTAAATTGGAAAAAAATAAAACAGACTGTAGAGACAATCCTTAAATATATTGAGCAAAGGGCAAGAAAGAATACAAGATGGCTTAGAACTTAAATAAAAGCGTTATCTTCAGATGTTATAAAACTGTTACAAGCAGAAGAAGTGTGCTCAGGATAAAATCTCAGCACTAAAGGACCCATGTCAGCAATGTAAAAACTCTATCTCTGTAACATGTCTTTGATATGGAATCTGCCAGATGAGAAGATGACTAAAAAGTAGAAGAGTGAATCACATAGCATTAGAATAATTTCAAAGGATGATAAAATTTTTCTGAAAAATAATGAAATCAAAATAATCCAGAGAAAATGTAATTTTGGAATCTAAGGAAATTATTTTGATTGCATAATGTAATAGGTCATAATAAAAGTACAAGAGGATTAAAAAGAGAATGAAAAAATAGATGTGACACCTATGCCTAGTTTTTTTTATATTCTAAATCAAGGATCTTAGGAGTATTTAGTTAAAAACCCTTAAGTCAAATATATTAATTATGCTTTATTCTCCATCTATTAATGGCTAATTTGGGGCAATGATTGGCTGAATTTTAAACTGCAATCAGATGAGTCTTTATGAAAATTGTTTCTAGGCCCTGGGTAAAATTCCAAATATGAATATCTTAATGCATGTTATGGTAATTTCAAATTAGATTATAAATTTACCTTTATTTTTGAAATCGTACATTTCAAAAATTGTCAAAGTGATTTTCTGCATTGGTCTTTGACTATAGAAGGATCCAAATGATAATTTTACCCTAATCAGACTACTGTTTTATTCAAGTAGTTATTCCAAAACTCTACAATCAAATTTTCCAATGTGTTTCTGTCCTGCTCCACTTCATCAAATTTTTACCTTCTCATTACCTGAGTAACTATTTTAATGAATGGAAAATTAGCCTGCTGTTGATCTCTATTTTCAAAAAAGTGTTTATTGCTTCATTTTCCATCACTGCATCAATTACTTTAAGTTATACATAATACCAGAATTGTAAACTTCAAGTTCATTTGTTTATCATACTTATTGCTTGGCCTGGAAAACTTAGTAAACAGCAATGATTATGTGAACATTTAAAATGTATATTTTGAATTTATATCAGAAATCAAACATGCTATTGGTGACAAAATCAGGACTTTTATTCTGTATCTGTATATGTAGAAGTGTATATATCCTTGGAAGCAATGTTGCTTCCATTTGACTGGTCAGAATAGTCTTCTTTCATATTAGAATGGCTGCAGAATCCTACAATATATAGCTATAGAATATACTGGCCATATTCTGGCTGAAATTTTTTAATACTTTTCACAGTATTATTCTTTTAATTTTTCAGAAGAAACCACAAGTATAAAAACTACTTGGCTGACTACTTAATGGCTTTCAAATTTTGCGTTCTATGAAGGTTTAACTTCCAAGTTTTAATAAGTTTCATCATAGTATAGCGTGAAAGGAATCAACTCTTCATTTTATTTCCTGTACTTCTAATAACAAACCTCTTATGTGAAGCTATTAAATTGTTGCTTCCTGTATACACGTTTGAAACATTAAACATCATTAATCATTTATCTCCATGATTATCCCTATATGCATATATGACTGGGGGAAATTATAACAATAAAACAAAATTTGTTTGCTATATTAATGTTTAAATAGGCAAGGTAATCATCAGAGTCATATAGCAATCATTCAAGTCACCATAACTAAGAAATATGCAACAAGAAAAAGTTCATTAAAGAGCAGACCAATACACCAAAGATTAATTGAATTTAACTTTTACAGAGCCTAAAGAAAACATTTAGAGATTGCATTTTGATTACCAGTTGTTTCTGTAAGTATATAGGCTGACCAATTGTTTCAGAGTAGTACCTTTGTTAGGGCTGCAATTCTCTGAGCCAGTTCAGCCTCTACTTCAGGTAAGGTTTCAGCCTTTCTCATAGTTTGCTGCAACTTTTGTTCAGCCAGCTCAAGACGCTCTTGTAACTGTCTGTTTTTTTCTTCCATCTGAAATATGAAAGGCAAAAGGCACACTTAAAGGATTAGAATTGAATAAGCCAATACTGATCATATGAGCTTTGTACTTCCGCTAAGTGTTTAGCCTTAAAATCAGCTATGACCACACCTAAATGTGCTAAGTGATGTTTTTCATCATGTTTTCGTATATTATTTATCAAATTTCCTTAATAAAATTCAGCACATTAAAAAAGCTCTTGGCATGGCCAATGAAAAGATATTGCTAATGAGTATGCAATTGAGCACATGGACTACGGCTCAGTGTTCAAAGTTCAGATGTGCCATGATAACAAAATTTTGAAAGTCGTGCTATTAGCCTGCAGTGGGTTAGGGAATGTTGCGTGATGATGAGTCCAGGTTCTAGGGATGGTGCTGGCAGACTTTCTGTACAGGGCTAGCTAGGAAATATTTTAGACTTTGTGTACCCTAAGTCTGTCTCAACTTCTCAACTCTGCCTTGTAACACAAAAGCAATAATTGGTGATTAAATGGCCCAGCTTTGTCCCATTAAAACTTATTCTTAATAACAGCAGACAGCATACCATATTTGACCCATGGGTCATAGTTTGGACCACTATTGTTCTAGAGTCCTATAGATTTAGGCTGCCATTATAGGCTCTGTATTTACCATTTTGGGGAAGTGTTAATACCTAAGGATCAAAATGCAGTTATTATACTGCATACACCACTATATAAGTGGCGGCTAGAATTATGTGAGGTAATGCAAACTCCTTGGTGTAATAGTGCAGCAGTGATTCATTTCCAGTGCCAAAATAAATAAAAATTATTATTAAGACAAGTAATTTCATTATTCAAAAAAGTAAATTGCATACTAGAAACCACATTTGTTTCGTTATCTCCATTCTAAATTTTACAGCATGATTAATCATCTGTCAAGAAACACTGTATTTTTTTAACTCCATGTTTTGTGAAAATTCTGAGGGCATATATATGGCCCCAAAAGAAACCAAGACAGGGATACTGAACCTGCCGTAGGATGGCTTCTTTATTTGCCAACTCATTTTCTAGTTTATCATTCATGTCATGTATGGAGGTCGATTCTCTCTGAGCACTGAGGTAACGCTTCTCCAGGGTTGTGATTCTTTCTTCCATATCTTCCTTCTGTGCCATTGCCTAGAAAGAAAATGTAAATAATTATGCAGGAGTGAGTGAGTTCTGTCTTCAGCACTCAAAAATAAATTAAATGAATAAACAGGTAAATAAGTAAAAAGCAAACCATATTCTTAGTTTAACGTATATTTTGTTTAAAATAAAATGATATATATTGGCCTGGCCTTGCTTACTGGGAGAAAAACTTTCTACTGTTAAGGTTTGAGGGCCATGTCAATGTAGGTTGAACTTCATGCTTTTATTCATAAAAAATAATAAAATAAAATGATATATAAACATGATGGTTTCCTTAAAGGCACATTCTGTAGGACGCTACGCCCTCACCCCTGCTTCAGGGCAGAACCAAAACATAGCGTTTTTGTTAGTTTGAGATAAAAATAGCTCTACAGAGAGATTCCTAGCATTGCTTCCATGCACCTGTGTATTACAACCCACATTGATTCACCTCTACCAAACCTCTTCACTACTTCCTGGTCCCCTTCCCATAGTGGCCTCTGTCAGTTTAAGATTGCTGTATTTGCTCCTCTACAGTGGGCACATCAACTACATTCAAGTTTTAGGTTCCCTTCCCTTTCCCTATTCCTCCCATGAATGTTTTCCCCTTAGTGTGTGACCTGTGTCCAATAATATTTGTTTCAAGTCTATAAACTGCATATGAGGGAGAACATGTGGTTTTTGGACTTCTGAGCCTGACTAACTTCACTTAAGATGATGTTCTCCAGTTCCACCTATTCACTTGTGAATGACAAAATTTCATTCTTCTTTGTGGCTGAATAAAATTCCATTGTGCATAAATACCACATTTTCTTAATGCCTTTGTCAGTAGTACGGTATCTTGGCTTTTTCCATAGCTTGGCTATTGTGAATAATGGTGGAACAAACATGGGTGTACAGGTGCTTAAGAGCACATTCTTTTCTTTTCATGGAAGGAGTACAAAATTCCATGTGAGTTTTGCTAACTTATTTATCAGAAACTTCCTTGTATCATAGATTAACCAAGAGTTTTCTTCTTTCTGAGAATGTAAAGGAGTACATTTTGAAATTACTTTACTCTAGAATTGAAATTTTTAGAAAAGAAATGCCAGATAAATTAGCTCATAATGGGTAGAGCTGCATCCCATAAGATTTTTACAATGGTGGCTACAGTTTCAAATTGCAAAGCAATCTTCAAATAAGAAATAAACTACCATTACAGATCTGAACTTCACACACAAAAAAGAGTAGCTCAGTAGTTAAAGAGAAGTTTGGGTCTATATGTATAGCTCAGTAGCAAAACAGTTGCCTGACACGAATAGGAGATTCTATTTTAAATTTTCACTTTTATTATATATATATGTCTATGTGTGTATATATACATATATATTAATCTTAGTGTAGGAAGAATATCTTAGAGTACCCCTTAAAATGACAACTTCTTAAAATATTATATTCTGTCAGTTTCATTTTCATACAACACTTTGTAATATTATGTCAATTTTATGACCTAAATAGAAAATTTTGAGTCTGGTCTGCATATATTTCTAAGTGAATTCTAATAGCAAGAAATCCAGGAAAATGCACAAATTTGTTTCTCAAGGACATGAGCACTAAAGTAGTATATACTTTCTCTAAAGTCCTGATTTTTGGTACTTATTAAATCTGTTATCATGAGTCAATGTTTCCATCACTTACTACAATTTCAAATTCTTTTTGTTTTTGGTTTTTTGGCTGGAATACTAACATCACATAACATTGCTGTTAAGAATTAGGTGATACAATATTTTAAGTAATTAGTATAGTGCCTCATGTAGAGTATACACTGGATAGATAATAGTTGCTTTTTAATAATTGATTGCTATTTTGACCACAATTAAGTGCTCTCAGTCTATGGTATGCATTGCAGGTAGGAGTCATATATGAATTTGGTATTACATTTTTTATTCAGTAATTCATGTGGGTGATTCCATTTTTAACTGCAGGCTGTGTTGCTAAAAGTAAATTTTAAATTTACAGGTCAGTGAAACAGCTTTTCCTCTGTGTCTTTTGGAAATTCTAAAAAGCTTTTTCTAGTTTCTAAAAACTGTTCCTAGAAACAGCAAAAGGATAAAGATCCAATTATCACTTGACCTGAAGTTTATATATATGTTTTAAATAGAAGAAAAGACAAACTGATATGCATTCATTTCTTTACTTAGTAAACTTTTGAAGAACTTTTAATAGAAAACTAAGAAAATAAACTAGATTTATTCACAAAAATATCATTAAAATACTTCACTGAAAAATTTAGTTCTTTGCATAGCTAAAGATTCAGTGTGATATTATTCATACATGGTTAGTGGTTTTCTTGATTAAAAAGTAGAGAGCAAAGCCACTTTTATAAGATTTTCTGTTTTCTAGCATGGGGTATTGTGTCTATCTTTAATCCAGATCACCTACTTTTACATACCAAAATCAATGTAATGAGCAACTGAGACTAAACTTTAAATAAAAGTAAAGTTGGGTAGACTTTTTTCTTCATGAAGAAAAATTACAAAAATGCATTCAGAAACCATAATCATGCAATGAATTTAAGATATGTTAGGTTGTTCTCATGTGCAAAGCAAAATGCATTTCCATTTTAAATCAGATTGTTGTTTTTCCTATCCCTGAAGTTTTTTCTTAATCAATTCAGCAAATATTTATTTTAGCAATATAGAAATTGTACAGTGCTAGCAATATTATAGGAATACCAAGAAAAAATAACTTTTTTTCCCCAATAAGAAACTTGGCGTTCATTAGCTTTTGTGTGACCACATCCCATATTATTCAGGAAAACAAGAACAAAGTCTAGAACTTAAAGTGACATCTTCTTAAAAATATGAAATTCTCATCTCATTTATTGGAAAGAATGAACAAAAGGTTATTAGGTGGAAGTTATATTGCATTTGAATTTTTTATGATGATTACCATTGAGTGAAATGCTGAATTTGGAGGTGACAGACAGTTGGAAAAGTACACGATTGGAAGCCAGTCTAATTCTATTTCTTCCTAGTGATGGAGGGAACAGATGGTATATAGACCTTGGGCAAGTCACTTTACTACACTAAGACTTAGTCCTTATTTGAGAAAAGCGAAAATGATAATAAGTATCTCTCTATAGTGAGAAATAAGGGAAATTAAATAAAATGTTAATTGTTTTTACATATGGTTGGTGGTCCTTGAGAGAGCCTTAATAAACCAATGGGACATGAATCTTGAGAACTGAATGTTTCAGAAATATTTTATTTTTCATTTATGGTGACCTGTGAGTGTGAATGTGTGTGCTCATTTACAAAGATTGTGAGACATTTAACAAGTCAGACTGACTGTGGGCTCCCTTCACAGGTCTTGTCTGATAAGAACTGCCCCTTGCTACCATTCTTTAGCCTGAGCCGCAGCTGGTTTCATCCCTTGCAGAACAAAGCCCACTGTTCCTTATCTCCTGCCACCTTCCTTTGTCCACCCCTAGACCTTGCTTTGGCAGCTGGTCTCATCCCTTGCAGAACAAAGCCCCACTGTCCCTTATCTCCTGCCACCTCTCTTTGCCCGTCCCTAGTCCTTGCTTTCTCCCAAATGCTACTTAAGGCCAGACCCATCGAGAAAAGCTGCTGCGCCATTTTGTCTTCTCGGCCAGCCAGCCTGCTTATTAAACTTTGGACATGAGATACCTCTTGTGAGCCTCCTTTGTGTGCGGTGTGCGGTGTTTTCCTAACATTGTCAACTGTGTCATTTCCTACTGTCTTGCATCTGGCATTTCACATACTCAAACTGCCTACCTGGCTCTTAAAACGTTTGTATTTGCAACCTCTTCTCAGACATGGATGATGAGAAATACTTCTTTTTCATGAACCTCTTCTAAAATAGGACTACCTAGAAATTAAGCAGCTTCAAAGAATAATTATATTTTAGAAGAATTCCCTGTGAAAAGAGAATGCCTTACCCATTAGAATATACTCCTAATGAAAGAATACCTGGAATCAGAAAGTTGACATTTTCCATATGACAGGGCTTTTTGTCATCTATGTCCAGAGACTATTAATATCAGGGTGTTATTTTTAAATGGGAAATAAGAAAGGAGGAGCTGGAGATACTGGGTTCTACCCATAAGTGACACTAGATTAGATATTTATAGACAGAGTACTTGAATGATTACAATAAAAGGAAAATAACTAAATCTATGGAGCCAAGAGAATGAAGAAATATAGAATAAGTGTAAGTTCAAGAAATGTACCTAGTGACAGTGGTACAGAAGATTTATTAAACTTCATCAGTGGTATACATTGTCTGAGTTTGAATTGTGGGAAGAAGTGAAGAGGAGAGGTGTATCCTTGAAGTATTAATTCATATAAGGTTGATCACTGAGCTGCAGTGAACCTACCACTTCATAGCTCATCTACCTTTCTGTGAGACATCGGCATTGTTCTAGTCCGTATTCTAATCTCATCCATGCATCCTGGTGTTTATTCATTGTCAATACCTGTAAGTATCTATCCATTCTCTCATCAAAACAATTTAAGTACCTGTTATAAGCTCTCATAGCTATGTAGGTAATTAGAAACAAAACAAAGCAAACATCCCAGTACTTGTACATCTTTATGAGTAGTGGGGAAGGCAGGCAGGTGAAGCCCATGTAGACCATCAATGCATATATATATAATGTCAGGGAGGTATAAATGCTGTGGAATAAATATATGAAAAAGAGAGGGAGAGTTTATTTGTAAATAGCTACCATAGGGAACAAGAATTTTAAGCAGAAAAGTAATGTGGGTTGATTCACAGGCAGGCTCTTTAGACAGTACTATTGAGTATATAGTCTGACATGACCCAAGTGCAGTAGTAAAGAGACCAGTTAGAGACTATTATAATAATCTCATGGGAGGTAAAAATTGTCTGAAACACAGAAAAGCTAGGAAGACTATGAAAACAGGCCAGGTTTTCCATATATATTTTGATAGTAAAGACAGCAAAATTTACTGTTGAATCAAACACAGTGTGTGAATGATAGAGACGTACCAAGGACAGCTCTAAGATTTTTGACCTGAGCAACAATAATGGATGTGTAAAACTGCTGGAGCACTAGGCTTATTAGGAAAATATCAAGAAAACAATCTTAAAGATGCTAATTTTGAAATTTAGATATACACATCTGGAAATCAGGAGAGAAAAACAAGCTGAAAATATCATCTGGGAATCATAAAGCCATGAGACTGCATAAACTTACTAGAGAAGTAAACATAGGATGAGACAGGAAGAATGACAAGTATGGAGAAGGGAAGTGATAAGGGAAAAGATCTAGAGATGAAAGTAGAAGTAAATATGGAGGAAATTCAGAAGCGTATATAGCATTCCATTGGCTCAGTAAAAATGGCTCAGGGAAAGAAGATTAGAAAGTAGAACAAGTGTTCCAAAGGATAGAACTGATACTTTCATTTGGTAAAGTAAACATCAATAAGAACTTTCATAGGGATACTTTTAAGAGACAGGTGGAGGCAAAAGTATTATAAAATAGGCTCAAGAGAGAATGGATTAAAAAATATACCAAAAATATTGTAAATATCTGTGTAGGTAGAGGATATAAGGACACATATTGAAAGCTATTGAAAAATTGGGGAGGGATGGTAGGTAAAAGAAAAAGGGAGAGCAATGGAAGGGGTTAAATGGATCAAAATAAAGAATATTCACAGTGGGTATACATTGAAAAACCCCTGTGAACATCAACTTAAATATTAATAATGAAAGATAGGTCTGTAAAGTAGGTACAATGTGGGGGGACTTACTTGTGTAAGGGGGAGGTTGAATGGAGGAGATTAAAGAGAGAGTATGTGGTTGATGGACTTCATATATTTATATGAAATAGAACAAAGAAACCTCTTACAATTGCTTTAAGGGGGGTAAAAAGGGGGTTGAGAGAGGAGAGATGGTGGGGTTGATCCAACCAATGTACATTATAAGTCCATTTGGAATCATCACAATGAATCCCCCTGCACAAAAAATACATCCCAATAAAAAATTTCTTAAATGGATATATAGAATAGTCAACTACAATAATATTTTTGCATATACAATTTTTATAAAAAGATAAAAATATATTAGTTATAAAATATGTAAAAAATAGAAAAGGTGAAAGCTTGTGACAAAATTTTCACAGGCAGAAATAATTTTCTTTTCAACTGTGAGAAAGTAAGATGATTCTGAAATTTCACCATGTAAGATAATTTAGCAATGTTATAAGTAAAACATCTACTTGTATCTTCTGTACTAATTTTAAAGTACTCTGTTTTCAATAGATAAAACAATGTTAAGTCTAGCAAGAACTGGATATATAGAAAAAGACAGGTGGTGTTATATATGTGTGTGTGTGTGTGTGTGTGTGTGTGTATAACACATTCACACATATGCATTCACATTCATACATACAAAACCAATGAAAGAGGAGACAGTTTAATGCCTGATATTCTGATATGGTAAGATTATAGGAGTCATGATTCATATCCCTCACGTGGTTATTTAAAATGAAAGCTTGAATTTTTAAAAAAGATCATTTAAAGCCTCAGTAAGTCTTTATTATATCTGAAATTTGATGCTAAAAATTTCTTTCCATACATATTTAAAGAGTTGATAAAGTAAACTATTTTTGCCTCACCGAAAAAGTACATAACTAATACAATGCATCCTAAACTATGGTATTCTGAGAAGTACAGATTACATGCCATTAGGGGAAATTATGGAAAGAGCTTCTCAGAGGCAGAACCGAGGAAGTAAACACAGAAAGTAGTATGAACCACTTACCTCCCGAATGTCCCTTTGATATTTAGTGTTCATCTCTTCTGTTTTAATGAGATCCTTTCTTGCTGTCTCTGCTTCCTGTTCCACCTCTCCCACACGGGAAGAAAGGGCTGCTAAACGTTCTTTCATTTGGGCCATTTCATAGTTCTGCTTTTCAAGCAATTCCTGTAGTTCAACTAGCTGACTAGTTTCATCAGTCGAGTCGATAGAGCCGTTGGACAGACGCTGCAGGAATAGACAAAGGAATGGCACTTAGGAATTTCTTTATCTTCAATTTAAAATTTATGAACTTAAGAAATAAAAGCATAGCATTCACACTGAAAAATAAAATTTCTCAGTGAAATTCTTTTCAGAATTCTGAAAAGAATGAGTTTTGGAGAAAAAAGTTTCTGAGAGAACTTAATTGACATTACTATAGAAAAGAAAGTCAGAAATCGTATGTTCTCCCTCATATGTGGACATTAGATCAAGGGCAAACACAACAAGGGGATTGGACTATGAGCACATGATAAAAGCGAGAGCACACAAGGGAGGGGTGAGGATAGGTAAGACACCTAAAAAACTAGCTAGCATTTGTTGCCCTTAATGCAGAGAAACTAAAGCAGATACCTTAAAGCAACTGAGGCCAATAGGAAAAGGAGACCAGGAACTAGAGAAAAGGTTAGATTAAAAAGAATTAACCTAGAAGGTAACACCCACGCACAGGAAATCAATGTGAGTCAATGCCCTGTATAGCTATCCTTATCTCAACCAGCAAAACCCCTTGTTCCTTCCTATTATTGCTTATACTCTCTCTACAACAAAATTAGAGATAAGGGCAAAATAGTTTCTGCTGGGTATTGAGGGGGGGAGCGGGAGGGGGTGGAGTGGGTGGTAAGGGAGGGGGTGGGGGCAGGGGGGAGAAATAAACCAAGCCTTGTATGCACATATGAATAATAAAAGAAAAATGAAAAAAAAAAAAAAAAGAAAGTCAGTAGATTTCAAACAGGTTAAGAGATGCTTATGAACTGAAAACTTATATAAGTGTATACATATATATGTGTATGAATAAAGCTGTATGTTATATATACATATAAAATATATATATATAAAACTTAGCACAAGTCATTTGCATATCCTAATCATTAATTGCCAGCTATTATTTTATCATTTATTATTAACACACATTCTGCTAATATAACACAACCTATTATTTTAATCAACTCATAGAAACACAGAAACTGTAATATTTTTCATTTTAATTTAGAATTCTTTGTAAGCTTTATTTTAAATTATACAGCAGAAGAACATATATAATTTTTAAAGAATGTTATCACTGTAGTGGCCCTGAAGTAGTTTGAAGAAATGTATACCATAGAAAAGTCTTGATTTGCTGTCAGTGTAAACACTATGTGGGCACACAATCCATAGGAAGGAAGCTGAAAGGGTTAAATATGTTGAGACTGTTATTTCAACTTTTGAAAAGGCTATCTAGAAACAATGCAACCCATATCTTTAAAAGTATGCCCCTAAAAGAATATCCCATGGGTAATATACAAAATAAATAAGAAAATCAAACAACTCAACAGTAAGCAAACAGCTCAATAGCAGGCAAAGCCAGGTTAATAAATAGGCAAAGGTTCTGAAAAGACATTTCACAAAAGAAGACGTACAAATGGCCAGCAGATATTTGAAAATAGTCTTAACATCACAAATCCTCAGGGAAATACAGTTTCAAAGCATATCACCACATATTTGTTAGTTTGCCGATTATCAAAAGATCGAAAGAGTAGAGCATGGTGGTGCATGTCTATAATCTCAGCAATTGGTGCTGAGGCAGGAGGAGCATGAGTTTGAGCCTACCTGTGTTATATAATGAGGTCAAGGCCAGCCTAGGCTACATAGTGAGACACTGTCTGTATCAAACAACAAAATAAATGAAACAAAAAGTCAAAAGACAACAAGTGTTGGCAAGAATGTGGCAAAAAGGAAACCCTTGTGTATTGTTGGTAGGAATGTAAATTCGTATGGCCTTAATGGAAATCAAAGAAACCACAAATTAAACTAACATCTCATTCTAGGGGTAGGAAATCAAAGAACCAAAATCAGTATGTCAGAGAAATTTGTAACATTTTTACTGTAGCGAACATAGGAATCAAGGATTCACTAACTGTTGAGTGGATAAACAAAATGTGGTGTGTGCACTAATAGAATACCATTCTGACTTTAAAAAGAAGAATATTAACAGGGTGCCAGGCAGGCAAATAGTTCAGAAGACCCTGTCTCCATAATAACCAGAGCCAAATGGACTGGAGATGTGGCTCAATCCATAGAGCTACTGCTTTGCAAGCATGAAGCCCTGAGTTCTAACTCCAGTTCCACAAAAATAAACAAATAGGAAATTCTTTCATTTTTGACAGCATGGGTGAGCCTGGTGGACATTATAATAAGTGAACTAAGCAAGGCACAGAGGGACAAATACTGTTTGATCTCACATATGTAAAAATCTAAAAAAGTCAAACCAACAGAAATGGAAAGTAGAATGGTATAACTAATGGTAGTGAGAAAAGGGGAGGTGTTTGTTAAAGAGTGCAAAGTTCAAGTTAGACAGGAAGAATAAGTTTTTAGTAATCTACTGTACAGCCAAGTGACTACTAGTGAATAATGTGTACTTCACAATTGCTAATATAGAAGACTTTAAGTATTCTCACCAAAAAATGACATGTAGGATATGTGATAGGTTTGTCAATTAACTTGAAAGTAGAATACAATGATTCCTCATCAATTAAAAAAGAGGAAAAAGAGGATGTTTTATAGCCTGGCTACATTGGAGATATGTGGTAAGAACAGTGGAGCAACTGAGGAAAAATACAATATGAAAAAGAACACAATCAAATAGAAAGAGAATGGAGAAAAGTCAAAGAAAGTACAAACAGTTCTGCTGCAATGCTTGTTTAACCATATGAATTTGTTTCAGCACCAAAGATATACTAGGACACAATTTGAACATAATGTACATTTTGTGTTCTCCTATGTGTAACTTTATTCCTGAGAAGCACTGGGTAAATAGAAGAAACAGACACCTAGCTTGGTTCAGCAGGAGGAATATGTAAAATTCACACATGAGCATTCTTCAAACATTTAATGCACGTGGACCTCAGGTCCTTGCATATGTTAACATTTTCTCATTCACATCTATATTACAGCTTCCTGTCTGATCTTAGATACTTCTTCATCCAACACTCATAATAAGTGAAATCCTTTAACCCTTTATCACCCACTTCTTCAAACAAACTTCAAGTTTTTCTCAAGGTAAACAGCCACATTTAGCTTACAACTTACACAAGTCTTAACCGTTTATTATGTGTGCTATTGTGCTATCATTTTAAAAGCTTATGTCCTTTTTATGTAACTAAAGTTTTAAGTGCTGTGCTGTAAACCCTGTTCTCCCATTATCTGTATGGGCTTTTTTCTTTCTTTTAAAATTGGCAGATAAAATTGTACTTATCGTGTATAATATCATGTTTTAAAATCCTATATGGGAACTAAATTCTAAGAAGGGTGAGCTCATAGAAGTAGAGTAACAGGATGCTTGCCTCCATCATGTGGTTATTTCGGGGAGAGTAATTTTTCATAGTTTATGACTTTTAGCAATACAAATATCACACAGAGAAGCATTGATTGTAAGAGTAAAGGAGAACAGAAGGTGTCATAAAGGCAGAAAGAAAGAAAGAAAGAAGGAAAGATATATAAAAAGGGAATGAAGACAAATTGCAAGCGAGAAGTGCTGATAAGTCTAAAACCTAATATAATGCAAGTATATGGAGAAATAGCTGGGCAAATCAAAATTAAAAGGGCAGATAAAGAAGGCACGGACTTAATTGCCTTTTCTCAGTTGACAAGAAGAATTTTTCTATTCCTCTAGAGGTAGCATGTCTATTAAATTTTAAGCTTGCTTAGTTACTTGTAAATTGTAGTTTGAAGATATTTGAAATTATGACAAAACCCTACAAAATCATATCTGAGTTATTACAAATTGAGCAACTGGTTCTAGCCTTTTTCCCTGATCCAATTCTCAGCTGTTGCCTAGTGATTACAACCTGGGTCTTTTCAATACAGATAGTTGACTGTTGTAAGTGTTCACATTTCCTTTCTTCTAAGAGCACTTCCTAAAGACATATGAAGCAGTGAGGAAAATTGACTCTGAAGCGGGATGTGGTCAAAAGTTTGCAGCATCAACCCCAATATTCCTATATGCTTGAAACATCACTTACCCCTTCCATTAGGTGCACCTGCATTACAGCAGTACTGCTATCACATGGTCAGTATGTCTTCAGAGAATTTTGTCTGTAGAGTCAACTTTTGTCTTAAGAGAAATTAGTATTCAACAGTGACTCCTTTTGAATAAAATTTACGGACTATGCTAAGTAGTTAAATTGAAAAATAGTCTGGAAAAATATGAAACAAATCTCTGTATTCTTCAGGTAAAAAATATAATTTTTGGTGTACTCTTATAATGAACAAGAACAAACTACAGATATCTGCAACAATCTGAATCAAAAAACATCATGCTGAGAAAATGAAGCTAGACACAGAAGAGTATATACTGTGTGATTGCATTTATATCAAATTCTAGAGTCAATAGTGTCAGGAGAGCAGATTGACTAACAAGTCAATGACCTCACCCTGGTAAGCAGAGGTTGGGATTGACTGCAAATGGGCACAAAGACACTTTTAATGGCAAAGGGAATGTTCCCTGTTTTGATACACACATACACAAGTCAAAATTCATGGCTTTTACCTATGCACACATATATCAAAATTCATGGATTTATGAAACTCTGTTCTACATTAATACAGTTGCTTTTGAAAAACTATAAAAATATAATAAAACATTTTTTAAAAACTTTTTTGTATAATTGAAAAATTACATTTAGAATTGTAGAATCAAAAAAATACTTTGGAGAAACAGACATACATAGTCACATAGAGCTGATCTGAATTAAAATGCAGAAGTTTGAATATCCAGTTCATCTGTCCTTACTATACTGCCTGTAATCAGAACATAAATCAACAAATTAAAATTGGATATACTATATGGTAGAGAAAGTACCTAAGGTTTGTGTATATGAAAAGCACTGACATATATATATATATATATATATATGCATATGTATATAAAGTATTCATATCTATATTTAATGAGTAGGTAACATATATGATTTGTGTATATATACATATGTATG